ACGCCCTTCTCCTGGGGGTGGACCCCACTTAGCCCTCCCATGGGTGATTGGTCCCCCCCGGAACAGAGGCTCTGTCCCAGGCAGCACCCACTTCAGGCAACGCCCCCTGCCCTGCCTCTAACAAGGAGGGAGCGTTCTCCCCACACCCTTCGAGGGTGGAACCTGCCCCGATTCCCATGGCCCACGTGGCAGCTCGTGGCCGTCAGCCTCAAGCCCGGACAAGGTGACCCCGCAGGCCCGATGCCGAGAGTGCTGGGTGCCCAGCCCCGGGGCCGTGGCTTCTGCTTAAGCTCAACGCCATCTCCTGGTCCTAGGTCTCTGCGTCTCGGAGCCTTTCGAGATGACGGTCAGGAAACCGTTCTTTGTGGATCTGAAGCTGCCCTTCTCCATGGTCCGGAACGAGCAAGTCCAGATCCAAGCCGTGCTGTACAACTTCCTGAGCCGCCAGGTCAAGGTGAAGCCTCCGCCCCCCACCCCCCTTCCTGCCAAAACACTGGTCCGTGTGTCTTATAAAAGGGGAGGGAGTGTGTCATTATCCGCAAGGGCCAGGGAAGTGGTGGCCTTTTTGGAAGACTTCTAAGATATTTCTTTTCTTTTCTTTTTTTTTAAAATATATTTTATTGATTTTTTACAGAGAGGAAGGGAGAGGGATAGAGAGTTAGAAACATCGATGAGAGAGAAACATTGATCATCTGCATCCTGCACACCCCCCTACTGGGGATGTGCCTGCAAGCAAGGTACATGCCCTTGACTGGAATAGAACCTGGGACCCTTGAGTCCGCAGGCTGATGCTCTATCCATTGAGCCAAACCGGTTAGGGCTCCTTTCTTTTTTGAAACATATTTTTGTTGATTTCAGAGAGGAAGGGCGCGAGAGAGAAACATCAATGATGAGAGAGAATCATTGATCAGCTGCCACTGGGGATCCAGCCCACAACCCAGGCATATGCCCTGACCGGGAATCGAACCGTGACCTCCTGGTTCATAGTTCGATGCTCAACCACTGAGCCACACCAGCCAGGCGAAGATATTTTCTTACTGAAACCTCTCCACAACCCCAGCAGATGGGTCCCATTATGGTTCTTTAGAGATGAGGAAACTGAGGCACAGAGAGGTCAAAGGGCTTTCTGAGATCACCCAGCACAGACATGGCAGGAGGGGTTTGAACCCAGACAGGGTCTTTGCTATCAACCCCTATGCCGTGCTGTTACCTACTCAAGACTCTCGGGCCGGGGGCAGGCGGCGGGTGTGACTCCAGGGTCCTGGGCCACCCATGCATCAGGACCCGCCACTGCCCACCCGCCCCAGGTCCGCGTGGAGTTCCCCCACAAGGAGCCGCTGTGCAGCGCATCCAGGCCAGGAGCCCCGTCCCGCCAGGTGGTGGTCCTGCCCCCCACCTCCACCAAGGTGGTGCCTTTTGTGCTTCTCCCGCTTGAGATGGGCAAAGTGGACGTGGAGGTCAAGGTCATAGGCTCCGGGATCCAGGACCATGTGAAGAAGACGCTCCTGGTCCGGGTAATGGATCCGCCCACGCCATGCTGCCCATGCAGACAGTGGCACCTCCCCTGTGTGGTCATGGGAGGGACAGGTGGGCCCAGGACCAACAAACAGGCCTCCCGGATGGGAGGGAGCTGAGAGAATCGATGTGAAAGTTCAATCACAGAGGCCCCACTTCACAACTTTGGAGTCAGACCTGGGTTCAAATCTTGACTCTTCCGTGTGACCTCACTCAGGCAACGCACTTAACTTCTCTGAGCCCCCATTTTCTCACTGACAGAATGGGGGTGATCATCACAGCCATGCACAACCAGAGGCTGTGAAAATTACATACGACCTGTGCATGACCCATCAAAAATACTTTATTTTCTTAACAAACACATGATGAGGCCTTACAATATAGCACTTTAAGAATATTAACTCATTGCCCGGCCGGCGTGGCACGTCAGTTGAGCATCAACCTATGAACCAGATCATGGTTTGATTCCTGGTCAGGGCACATGCCCGGGTTGCGGGCTTGATCCCCAGTGGGGGGCATGAGAAAGGCAGCCGATCAATGATTCTCATTGATGTTTCTCTCTCTCCCTCTCCCTTCCACTCTTTTTAAAAATCAATAAAAAATAAAAATAAAATAAAAAGAATATTAACTCATTGGACCCTCAGAACAACCCTAGGAGGTAGGGACTATTATCATCTCCCTTTTATGCATGAGAAAACTGAGGCACAGAGAGGTTAAGTAATTTGCCCGAGGTCACACAGCTAAGAAGTAGAAGAGCTGGGATTTGAACCCAGATATTAGTGCTCCAGAGTCTGCGTTCTCACCAGCTGAGCAAAGCTTCCTCTTACTGTCATTGCGACTGTTACTTTTGCTATGGCTTTTAACTTGCTTCCTCCTTGCCTCCCCACAGGCAGGGGGCAAGATAGAAAAAATATCTCATAGCTTCGTCCTGAACCCCCAAGGTTTGTAGAGTCTGCAAAGGGCATGTGGGATCCTGGGGACATGCCAGGGCAGAGGGAGGGGTTCAATGAGGTGCTCAGGCCAGGGGGGCTCCGTGCCTTCTGACCTCCCTGGCCCCAGAACCTGCTTGTCACAGAAGGTTGTGTCTGCTCAGGTCGGCCCCAGGTGGAGCTGGTGCCAAGAAGAGACCTTTGGAACAAGATGCCCAACACAGAGGCAGAAGTGTTTGTCAGCGTCCAAGGTGCTTAGGGCACAGCTGGCTCCTGGGGCGGGGGCGGGGGGAGGGGGGAGGCGGGGGAGGGGGGAGCTGGCTCCTCCAGGGCCGCCTGGGCACCGCAGCAGGAGGGGCCGGGAGTGCCCATGTGGAGTGATCAGAAAGCTTAGGCCATTCCCAAGACGACCCTGCCCACCTGGCAGGGGACATCCTCGGTGAGACCATCCTGGGCAGCCTGACCTCCCGAGAAACGCATGAGCTGCTGAGGGTCCCGACCGGCTGCCCCGAGCAGACGCTGAGCAGCCTGACGCCGGTGATCATCCTGACCCGCTATCTGGACGCCACGGGCCAGTGGGGCAAGGTCGGGGTGGAGCACAGGGACCAAGTGATGAAGAACATTGTCAGCGGTGAGGCCCTCCTGTGACCTTGATGAGGGTTTCTGGGGCTCTTTGGGAGGGTGACGAGGGTACCCCCAGGTTTGAGGGAGGTCCCATGGGACCCTCCCAGACAATAGCACCCAAACTCTGACTCCTCTCCCAGATGACAACCTGATACCAAGCCCCGGGTGACCCCTAAACAGTGACCCCAAAGAGTCATCTCCAGGTGACCCCTAGATTGCCCTTGAACTCTGAAGTCCCAGGTAACCTCCAACAGTGACCCCCAGGTTATTCCTTCACCGGGACCCCCTTCTCAGGTTACAATCTAACAACAGACCCCTAGTTCATCCCCAAAGCAGCAACTCCCCAAGGTTGTTCTATTCAGACACTGTCCCAGGTTACACCCAGTCGGTGCCAAGCCCTGGGTCAACCCCGGGGAACCCTGAAGCAGAAAATTCCAGAACAATCCCAGTTACACCTGAATGCTGACATTTCCCGAGGTGACGCCCAAACCTCCAGGTAACAACCAGAGATGAATGCCTCTAAGTCCACCCGGAGCCCTCCAGGTAATTTGGACATCGACCCCCTCTTCCCAGTCACTCCCAGACCCCAACTCTCCATTCAGGCTCTCTCACCAGCAATCCTCAGGGGACAGCAGGCACTGTCACCCCATGTTACACTCAAGCAGCAAACCCTCAGGTAACCTTCAGATGTAATGCAAACAGCCGGGTTCAGAATGTACCTGAGAGGTGTCCCCACGAGCCTACACCCAAGAGTGGCCTCCTTGAGTCCACACACACTCACTGAAACCTCTAGCTTGCAGCCAAAGAAGAACCCCGAGAAAATGCCCGGCTGGTGTGGCTCAGTGGTTGAGCATCAACCTATGAACCAGGAGGTCACGGTTCAATTCCTGGTCAGGGCACATGCCAGGGTTTCAGGCTCGGTCCCCAGTAGGGGGTGTGCAGGAGGCAGCTGATCAAGGATTCTCTCTCATCACTGATGTTTCTCTCTCTCTCTCCCTCTCCCTTCATCTCTGAAATCAATACAAATATATTTTTTAAGAAAAGAAAATGCCCAGGTAGTGGCTCCGCAGGGTACCCCCTTCCCTGGGTTTCACCTTCCATGATCCCCCTGAGCGGCAGCTGCCAGCCTCACCCCTCCCAGATGGGTGGTCTCCCAGGATTCTCCTGGACACGTACACACTGCTCCGGGGGTCACGCCTGGCTGCGACCTGCATTTCCGTCCGGACTCTGCAGCTCCCACTTCATACGTGTCTAAGCCCCTCCTCCAGGTTGTACCTGGGATGCATCCCCAAGTCACACCCACACCCTGCTCCTCCAGATGATCCCGGCCACCCCCCAACATCAACTCTCTGGCTCTCCTGCCAAGACCTCCTCCACCTGTTTCCCCAGGATATACCCGGATGCTGACCCACCGGAGCGCAGACGGCACCTACCACATCCACAAGGGAAAGCCGGGAAGCACCTGGTAAGGACAATGTGGGGTGGGGTGAGGTGAGGGGGGAGCTCAAGGGGCCAGCCTGGGGCTTGATGACCCGGGAGCATCCATGCTGTGGGTCCTGGGCAGGCAGCCTGCGGGCCAGCGGCCTTGCACATGACGAGGCTCAGTGTGAAGCGGTGAGGTCCATGGTGTGGATCCTGCACAGTGTGGATGCCCCTGTCCAGAACCCTTGGCTGCCCTTCCCCGTGATCGCTTCCCCCTCGCCCTCCCACAGGCTCACGAGCTACGTGTTCCGAGTTTACGCCCTGGCCTACTCCACCATGACCTTGCATATGATTGACCTGCGCTCTCTCTGTGACATTGCCAAGTGGATCATCACCCAGAGGCAGGGCGAGGACGGGCGGTTCTTGGAGGAGGGCCCCATAATCATGGGGTCCATGCAGGTGCCCACACCCCCACCCATGTCTGAGTTGGTCAAACAAACCCACGGCTCTGCCCGGTGCTGGGAGACTTTCAGGCCCTGCCCTGTGCTCAGGTAGAATGAGAAAGGCAAGCAGCCGAGGCCCAGCGCCCAGCATCTCCTCCCCTTGCTCTGGACCACCCTGAGCTCGTTTACAATGTGAGGAAAGCCAGGGTCCATCTGGGACCCCATCTCGCCCTCACCCTCACTTCCAGCAGTCGTCCATCCTGGCCCTCCTCCCACTGGGCCTGAGTCCTCCCTGGCCCCAGCCAACACGCCGTCCCTACCAGGTTCCCTCCACAGGAGCCTCCAGAAACAGCTTTCACACAGACTGTGGGTCTCCCCTGCTCAAACACCTTCTGTGCCTCAAGTTGCCTACAACAGTATCTCTACTCTAGCTCTTCTGTATCTCTTCGCCAGCCTCTCCTCTCACACCCCAGGCTCATGGGTCTCTCCAATTCACCTCCGTGTCTTTGCCTATGCTGCCCTCTTTTCTTTTCACCCAGCCAAATCATGTTTTCTTTTTTTAAAAATATATTTTATTGATTTTTTACAGAGAGGAAGGGAGAGAGAGATAGAGAGTTAGAAACATCGATGAGAGAGAAACATCGATCAGCTGCCTCCTGCACATCTCCCACTGGGGATGTGCCCGCAACCCAGGTACATGCCCCTGACCAGAATCGAACCCGGGACCCTTCAGTCCGCAGACCGACGCTCTATCCACTGAGCCAGACCGGTTTCGGCTGTTTTCTTATTAGATTTAGTTCAGACATAGCCTCCTCCAGGAAGTCTCCCCTGAATGCCAGCCCTGTGCCTGTCTCTATCATTGCATCTACACACATTACTCATTCACTAGGTGCATGGATTCATGCACCTTGAAAGGAACTGTGGGCCGAGAGCTGAGGTGGGCACAGGGGCGGGTCTCAGCCCATCCTCTGCACCCCCACCCAGGCCCTCCCACTGCAGCCTCCAGTCCCCTGTCTGCCAGCAGCCCTGCTCCTGCTGCTGCTGCTCCCACGTGCTGACAGCACCGAGCGACTGGGGCTAGCCTGATCCTCCCTCAGGAGTAGGGGGCGTGGAGAAGCCCTCAGGGGTGGTTGGGGCCTCAGCCGCTTGCACCTGCTGACAGTGCTGAGCATTCAGACCGGCACTGGGCACCGAACAAAGGAAGGCCCTGGCCAGCAGCTGGAAGGCCCCGATCGGCCCTGATCGCCTGCCAGGCCTAGGGACCCTACCCGTGCATGAATCTCACACACCAGGCCTCTAGTATTAATATAACCAATTATGTAAATTAAAATATAAAACCAACCTCCGGCAGGTTTAGAGATGGCCCTCTATGAATCAAGTCCAGTCATGTTTTCAGAAAGGGAGGAAGTGATAGCACTTGCTGAACTGAAATTACCATCAAAGTTCAAAAAGCTGCCCTAGTCAGTTTGGGTCAGTGGACAGAGTGTCGGCCTGTGGACTCATTCCATGGTTGGGGCTCATGTGGGAGGCAACCAATTAATGTGTCTCTCTCACATCGATGTTGTTGTTTTCTCTCTCTCTCTGTATCTCCCCCTTCCTTGCACTCTCTAAAAAAATGGAAAAAAATATCCTCAGGTGAGGATTAACAACAACAACAAAGAGCTGACGATGTTCATTTAAATTTTGTAATGTTTTTATTGATTTCAGAGAGGAAGGGTGAAGGAGAAAGAGATAAAAACATCAATGATGAGAATCATTGATCAGCAGCCTCCTGCATGCCCCCGACTGGGGATTGAGCCCACAACCTGGGCATGTGCCCTGGCTGTGGGAATCAAGCCATGGCCTCCTGGTTCATGGGTTGACGCTCAACTACTGAGCCACACCGGCCAGGCTGGTCATATTCATTCAACCACAAGCCAATCTCATTGAAATCAGGACTGCCCCAAAGGAAATGCTCTGTCAGCCATGCATGAGCTGATCTGGTGTCTGAGACCAGTTTAAATCCGGTACATGAAGAAGTCACGAGACACTGTGATAAACAAGGCAGTGGCCAACCGTGACTCGCTAGTAGCTTTTTTGAGATACGCTATCAAGTCTGCCCTTCTGCACTCTCCTTCGTGACAGCAAAGATCATGTTTGCTTCAGGGATGTACTTCTTGGGATTCTCCGATCACTCCATCAGTGTGGCCTCTCCCCAGGTGATGGCTTTGTTCTTGTTGGCATCTGTGTAAGGAAATCCAGGGGCCTGACCTGCCTGAGGGAGAGAGAGAGAGAGAGAGAGAGAGAGAGAGAGAGAGAGAGAGAGATTGATGTGCAAGAGACATGCCAGCTGGTGCCTCCCACACCCACCCTGACCAGGACTAGGGTTCAAACCTTGACCAGGAATCGAACCTGCAACCCTTCAGTTCATGATGCTCTAACCACTGAGGAAAACCAGCCAGGGCTCAATGTCACCCACTTTTAAATCCGCTGTGTACTCTGTGCCCCTCGCTCGCTCACCACTCTCATAGCACCTGACACGGGGGCTCCCACTCACAAGCCGAGCATCCTGCTTTCTAAACTGACCCTCCGTTTCCTTATCAGTAAATGGAGCTGCTGCAAGATGCTCCGAGGTAGTGTAGCGAGCTTGGCACAGCACTCTCTATGGCTGCCAGCTCTTGATAGTAAGGCAGATGCCACACAAGCAAATCTCAAGTCTCTCTCTCTCTCTCTCTCTCTCTCTCTCTCTCTCTCTCTCTCTCTCTCTTTCTCCCTCCTGCTTTCAGCATCATTCAGCCCAGGGTTGAGCACCTGGGAGCTTTGTAAGGTCAGGCAGGAGAGGTGGGGGAAGGTGTCTCCAAGATGTTAAAGGGGCCGTGGGTGTGTTCTGCATCCACAGGGTGGCTACCGAGGCTCTGAGGCAGACGTATGCCTCACAGCCCTTGTTCTGATCGCCCTGGATGAGGGGGAGGAGTTGTGCAGCTCGGAGATACCGGTAGGACCCAGAGGGGGGGGCGGGGCGGGATGTGCAGGGTGCCCTATCCCCTGCACCCAAGGATCCCCCCACCCTCATGTTCCTCTCAGTGCATCCCTCTCTTCTCACTCCCAGACCCCTTTCCTCTGACCACCTCCCTCCAGCCTCCTCTCTCTGACTCTCTAGGATTTGGTTGCCAGCATGGAGAAAGCCAGGGCCTTCCTGGAGCGACGCCTCCCCGACATTCAGAAAACCTTTTCCGTCGCCATAGTCTCCTATGCTCTGGCCCTCACCAACAGCCCCCGAGCCAACGACCGCCTGGACAGCTTTGCCAGCCACAGTGAGTGTGTGGGGTCACTTCTTCTGCAACTGTGTTAACCGGCCATGGGGGTGGGGGAGGGAGATTGAGCCCAGCCATGTATGACTCATCATATAGTATCTATTGAACGCCTATGGTGTGCCAACCCCTGACCTCAGGCCCTGAGAAACCAGGGTGGACAAGACTCCTATGGTCACTGCCCTCGAAGTCCCCACCATCCCTGGGGAGTCAGGCAGAAGACAAACTAATGAATGGGAAATTACAAATTGAGATACGTGCTGAGATGGAACATATGAAGTGGGTGGGAGAGATGACAAGGGGAGAGAAGCATGGATTGGGGGGCTGGGATGGCCTCTGTGAAAAGGGGACCCTCTCAGATTAAACGAAGGATAAGAAGGCCCACCTCTGTGAAAGACCAAGGGCATTCCAAAGCAAGCCAATGGCAGGTGCAAGTGCCCCCAAGTGGGAAAGAGCTTGGCAAGGTCAAGGATAGGAAGGTCATTAAATGTGGGGCATTGGAAGGGGTCTGCCTCCGATGACCTGCCCTATCTCATCCTTATTCCATCCTCTCCATCCCCCAAGGCAAGAGGAGTGGCGTTAGGAGAACTCCCTCTCAGTGGGGCTGCAGGGACCTGGAGAGGCTTCTTTGTAACTCAGTTTCCCCACCTCTAAATAGTTAGAGTCTGTCCCTTAGAGTGATTCTGAAAGTACGATGTCCAGTCCGTGTGCCTCCTCAACAAGTTTCACTTAAAGTAAGTGCTCAGCAAAGTAGCAGATGAGAACAACTGGGCCAGATAACACAGGAGAGGACAGGTTTAGGTCAGTGGGCCCAGGTCTGGGTAACAAGGTGGGCATGCATCTTCTAGACAAAAACTACTGGCCGGTAAAAGACAAGGACTGGAACTCCCTGTACACCATCGAGGCCACCGCCTATGCGCTGATGCAGAAGCTGGAGCTGGGTCTGCACAATGAGACGCATGCCATCGCCAAGTGGCTGCTGGAGAAGCGGGAGCTGGGAGGCGGCTTCAAATCCACGCAGGTGACCCGGGCCTGCGAAGGGTGGGGGCTGGGCCGGAAGGGGTGGGGGGAGAGTGCCGCCAAGGACGGCCCATCGGAAGCTGTCCGTGGTGCTGACTCGGCTCCCGGGGAGCTGTCTGTGGTGCTGATCTGAGGCCCCCATCCCAACATCCAGACCACGGTGGTGGCCATCGAGGCCCTTACCCGCTTCAGCCAAGCTGTCCCCTTCGAGGGTGCCCAGGATCTCCGCGTCCAGATCAGAGCCCCCAAGAGATCCCTGAACGTGGAGTGGCTCATCGATCAGAACAATGCTTACCAGCGGCGGTCGGCGAAGGTAAGGCGCTCGGTGGCAGACAAGAAGTCCACGCAGAGGTGACATTGGGTATGAGGCCAAGAGTCATGTCCCTGCCAACCTCATCCCCCAATATTCTCTCACACCCTGGTTATACTGTCAATGCATTGGTTCATTTATTCTACAAACATTTTCTGAGCACCTACTTGTGCCAAGCATGGGGGATATATTAGAAAAGATGTGTGGCCCCTGCTCTCATGGAACTTACAGTGTAGAAAGAAAGACAGTAAATATATTCTATTTTGAGCTTTCCTGAAACAAGGGAAAGAAATAAATGTGTAAAGGAGAAAATAACTTGGTGTGGGGAGTAAGGTGATCTCCATGACCTTACTCCATGGAGGAGGTGATATTTACCTTCAATCATTTGGTACATCTTTATTGAGGACTACTGTGTGCCCATCATTGTTCTAAGTACTAGGAATATGGCCATGAACAAGAGAAAAAATAGAATTTTATATTTTGGTGAACAAGGCAGGCAATAAAGAGATGTGAATAGCCCTGGTGGTGTTTCTCAGTGGTTAGAGCGTCCACCTACATACCAAAGGGTCATGGGTTCGATCCCAAGTCAAAGGCACATACCTGGGTTGCAGGTTCAATCCCTGGTCCAGTCAGGGAGTGTTCAGGCAGCAACCAATCAGTGTGTCTCTCTCACATCGATGTTTCTCTCTCTCTCTCTCTCTCTCTCTCTCTCTCTCTCTCTCTCTCTCCCTTCCCCTTCCCTCCCTCCCACTCTCTCTAAAAATCAATGGAAAAAATATCCTCGGGGAGGATTAGCAAAAAAAATTTAAGAGATGTAAATAAGTAGAATGTAGTGTGTTGAGTGGTGGCAAGGTCTATAGGGGGAAATTAAGCAGGAAGGGGGATGAAAACATCAAGGAGTTGAAATTTTAGGGAGGATGGGTAGGGAAGGTCTCACCAAGAAGATGACATTTGCGCAAAGACCTTAAGGAAATACAGGAGTGAGCCTTGCGGCTATCGAGGCAGAGGGGACAGGAGGTGCGAAGGCCAGGTGGCAGGAGTTTTCCAAGAACAGCAACGAGGGGAGACGGGATTGGGTGTGAATGTGTAAAAGTTTGCTCTGCCTCCTGAAGGAAACAAGAGCAGATGCAGAGATGCCAGGTAGAAGGGTCTTTGGGGGGCTTCACACACAGAGAACTTTGGAGGCGTTGCAAAGTGGACAGAGTGGACACAGCCTGAGCTGGCAGTTGCAGGCGCTCTGTGACAGAGTAGACACCACAAGTGCTCTACCAAGAAGGCAAAGTAAAACCATCTCTCCTCCCCACCCACCCTCCGACATTGGAGCCATGTTTTGCTGCTTCCTCTGCCCTCAAATCCTCCTCCCCCTTTCCTCCAGTTTTCTTCCGAAGACGACCTAGAGATCACAGCCAGTGGCAGCGGGAGAGGCACCATATCGGTAGGTCGGGGTTTCATCCTCGAGATTCTTAGTGGGAGCCCAGGGTCCCCCTAGTTGGTGGGAATAGGGGCAGGTCTAGACCCCAAGACAAGATCAAAATCAGCAAAAAAAAATTAGCTACTGTTCAAGGCACTATTATTTGTGATGAGCCAAGCTAAGGATGGACTCCAAGCAACGGGTGGGGAAATAGAGGATCAGAGAGGTTTTTCACTTGCTGAGTCAAGAATCAAAGAAGGTAGAGGTCGGAGGTCATTGGGCCCCTCTGCCCCTCCCATGCTGAGTCCCTGGAGGGGTATCTCCTTCCTTGCCCCATGGAGGGAAGATTCTCCGCCCAAGGTGATCCCCAATCCCCAGAGGCTCACTCCACCCTTCCCCAGTATCTGAGTCAGCGGCTTCATGACATCTTCTGGTCCCATGCCCTGGGCCCAAGAGAACAGCCCTTTGTGCACCAAATTTAAGGAAGCCTGTTTCTGCCAATGGAGTCATGATGGAATCCCCGCCATTGTGTGACTTGGGGCGTGTCCCATTTCTCCTTGAGCTTCAGTTCAATTTAAATTCATTAAAATTAAATACAATTTAAAATTCAGTTCCTCAATCACACTAGCCGCATTTCACATGCTCAGTATCCACACATGGCTAGCGGCCACCATATGGACAGGATGGATAGAGACCGTGGCCGTCTTGCAGAAGATCAGAAGATTCTATTACACCGAGCTGGTCTAGACTCCATAAGGCGTTCTGACCACTGCACTCGGGGGTTGAGGAGGGCGGACGTGGCTGTGAATTCTCCACAGGGGCAGACCCCTGGGCAGGCAAGGGCTGGCCAGAGGAGGAAAGGGAATGTGTGTGGATGGGTTCTGACACCTCCCCCTCCCTGGCAGGTCTTGACCATGTACCACAGGTCCCCAGAGTCCTGGGAGGACACTTGCAACCTATACCACCTGAATGCTACTCTTCATAGAGCCCTGGAAGGTAAGCCTGGACCTGAGGATGCCCGAGCCTTCTTTTCTACTTTTTATTTTAGCGATGGTTCAATAAACACACTTATTGCTTTATTAGCCATGCAACAAGTATTGAGCATTTACTATGAGCCACGCCCTGTTTCCTGGCCCTGGGAACACAGGCATACACAAGAAAAATATCCCCTCTTCTCTTGTAGTAGAGAGAGACAAACAATGATGCAACAATAAAAACATATTATTCTCTTACTGTTATTTATTGATAACATAAATGAATCTGCATTATAAAAAATTACCATATAACATAATAGCAGTTGACAATACCATACAAAATAAAGCAGGAAAAAATGACACAGACTTGGAGGAGAGCCAGGAGAAACCCTCTGAGGAAGTGGCGCTTGGGCTGAGACAGGAAAGAAGCTTGAGAGGGAGCCAGGAAGGATGTGAGGGGAAACATTGCCGCAGGCAGAACAGCAGCTGCAAAGGCCCCTGAGGCAAGAAGGAATTCTCCTGGTTTGAGGAACAGTGAGGAGGTCAGTGTGGCTGCAGAGAAGCCATGGGTGGAGTTTTAGGAGAAAAAGTTGGAGAAATGACGAGGCAGATGACTTGTGGGCCACAGTGAGGACGTCAGTGTTTGGACAGAGTGCAATGGGAGCCATGGGGACTTCTGAGCAGAGGAGGGATGTGACTTAGCACGGGTTTGTGTAGGCTCCCTCTGGTGGCTGTGGGGGGAACAGACTGTAGAAGGCAAGGGTGGGAGCTGGGAGACTAGGAAGAGGGGACTGCACTGGTCCAACAAGAGATGATGGGGGATGGGCCGAGGGAGTCTGTGGATATGGTCAGAAATGGTGGGATGCTGGAGTCTCCAGTTTGGGGGACCGAGGAGAGAGGACACTGCCATTGGGAGCTCACTTGTAGGAGTAGGAAGAACAAGTCTCACCAGGCCCAGGACGTTTAGGGACTAAAAGTGACCAAGGCTTTGGTTTGGGCCCCATTCTTTTTTCTTTTTTCTTTTTTTGGGGGGGGGGGGGGGGGAGGCATTTCTTTTAAAAATCTAATCTAATAAAAGAGAAACATGCAAATTGACCATACCTTTGCTATGCCCCAAGCCATGCCCACCAGCCAATCAGAGCAACTATATGCAAATTAACCCAACCAAGATGGCGGCTGGCAGCCACAGAGCTGGAGCAAGCTGGAGGAGACAATGATGAACAACCCCCACATTCCCAGAGCTGTTTCCCCTCACATCCAGAGCTGGTTGCCCTGGCGATGGAGGAAGCCAAGCTTCCCACCTGCCCTGGCTGGCTGTGGCCTCCGCTAAAGGCAACAAAGTTTCAATTATAGAAGACAAATAAATCCCAGATACCTGCTTCCAGCCAGCCTCCACTGGGAGCTTGGGTGGCTGGGGGCCGTGGCCAACCTGCAAACAGCTATCAGCCCCTCACCCAGGCTGGCAACACCCTCATGGGGTGAGGGTCCCCACTGGGGGGCTTGGCAGCCTGCAAACAGCCATCAACCCCTCACCCAGATTGGCCAGGCACCCCAGCAGGATCCCCCATCCTGAAGGGGGTGTGGCCAGCCTGAAAATGGCCCTCAGCCCCTCACCCAGGCTGGCCAGGCACACCAGTGGGGACCCCACCTGGGGGGCTTGGCAGCCTGCAAACAGCCATCAGCCACTCACCCAAGCTGGTCAGGCACCCCAGCAGGACCCCCACCCTGATCCGGGACACCCTTCAGGGCAAACCAGCCAGCCCCCACCCATGCACCAGGCATATAATAAAAGGGTAATATGCAAATTGACCCTAACAGCAGAACGATTGGGAATGACTGGTCACTATGACACACACTGACCACCAGGGGCAGACGCTCAATGCAGGAGCTGCCCCCTCGTGGTCAGTGTGCTCCCACAGAGGGAGCTCTGCTCAGCCACAAGCCAAGCTGACGGCTACCAGCACAGCAGTGATGGCGGGAGACTCTCCCGCCTCTTCAGCAGCACTAAGGATGTCCGACTGCAGCTTAGGCCTGGTCCCCGCTAGCAAGTGGACATCCCCAGAGGGCTCCTGGGCTGCCAGAGGAATGTCTGACTGCCAGCTTAGGCCCAATCCCCCCAGGGAGAGGGCCTAAGCCAGCAGGTGGACATCCCCTGAGGGGTCCCAGACTGCAAGAGGGCACAGGCCAGGCTGAAGGACCCCCCTGAGTGCACAAATTTTTGTGCACCGGGCCTCTAGTAATAATACTAATACTACTACTAATAATAATAACAATAGATGGTTATAAAATGCTGATCAGATGCTGTGTTAAGTGCTTTACTTGTATTAACTCATGTAATCCTTACAACAACCCTAGTGAGTTGGGAATATTATAATCAGATTAGGAAACTAAAGCACAGAGAGGTTAAGCAACTTGCCCTAAGTCACACAGAAGAGCCGGGGTTTGAACTCAGAAAGCTAGCTCCAGAGGCTGTATTACCCAGCCTCTGAACTTCTGCCTTCTCTCTACAGAAAAAAAAAGTGGGAAAGAGACCTTTCAACTTCGGATGGAAACAAGGTCAGGGCACCAGGGTCTTGGACTGGGAGGGAGAAGGCCTCACTTCCTGGTATCCAGACTCCTTACAGCTCTCCCTGTGTGCTGAGTGGAGGGTGGGAACCAACAAAGCCTGCCTCTCCGTGCCTGTCCCCTCATCTTACCTCCCATCCTGCCCTCCCCTGCCCATTCCCCATTCTGCCTCCTACCCTGCCCTCCATGCTTGTCTGCCATTCAGCTCCCATCCTGCTACGTCCTGGGATGGGGTGGGGGCGGGCCTACAATAATGAACAACCCCCACATTCCCAGAGCTGTCTCCAAGCCCCACAGCTCTTCCTCATCCTTATCCTTCATTGTCTCTAGACATTCCAGCCCCCAATCCAGTCCTGCTCGGTTTCCCAAATGCTGTCTCTCAGGTCTGCCCCAGAGAAAAATATTTATTGAGTGCCTACTGAGTATCAGGCTCTATTCTAGGATCTAGGTGCACAGATGTGAGCAAGGCAGTCCCTCCCTGCCTGGTGGAGCTCACAGCTTATCAGGGGAGACAGACAATCTATACTAATAGAAGAGTAATATGCTAATTAGATCAGGAGACCTTCCAGAGACCTTCTGGACGTCCTTCCGGACAAAGCCATGGTGGCGGGGCCGAGGCAGAGGCAGTTAGGGGCGATCAGACCAGGATAGGAGGGCAGTTGGGGGCGAGCAGGCCAGCAGGGGGGGGCAGTTGGGGGCAATCAGGCACAGAGAGGTTGAGCAACTTGCCCTAAGTCACACAGAAGAGCCGGCGGGGTTTGAACCCAGAAAGCTAGCTTCAGATGCTGTATTACCCAGTAAGGATGGGCAGTTGGGGGCGATCAGGCCAGCGGGTGGGACAGTTGGGGGTGAGCAGGCCTGCAAGCAGAGTGGTTAGGGGTGATCAGGCAGGCAGGCAGGTGAGCGGTTAGGAGCCAGCGGTCCCTGATTACTAGAGGGATGTCCGACTGTCCCACAGGGATCGGGCCTAAACTGGCAGTCGGACATCCCCCGAGGGGTTTCAGATTGGAGAGGGTGCAGGCCAGGCTGAGGGACACCCCCCCCCCGCACGAATTTCATGCACCGGGTCACTAGTCTATAATAATAAAAGTGTAATATGCTAATTAGACCAGACGTCTTTCTGGACATCCTTCCAGACAAAGCCAGGGCTGCAAGGGAAGCCCTGGTCCCGGGTGCCAGAGGGAAGCTGGTGCTGGCAGCTGGGGGAAGAAAGGCCTACTCTTGCACGAATTTCGTGCTTTGGGCTCCTAGTAACCAAATAATCACCCAGAAACAATGTAAAGTGACAACTGTGATTAAATGTGGCAAAGGAAAGGTCCAAGAAGCGACAACAGGGCAACTTAGAGAATGCTCTGATGTGTGGAAAAGGCCTACCAGAGGGAGTGATGCATCAGCCAAGATTGCAAAGATGAAAGGGTGCTTCAGGCCCTAACCGATTTGGCTCAGTGGATAGAGTGTCGGCCTGTGGACTAAAAGGTCCCAGGTTAGATTCCGGTCAAGGGCATGTACCTTGGTTGCAGGCACATCCCCAGTAGGGGGTGTGCAAGAGGCAGCTGATCGATGTTTCTCTCTCATCGATGTTTCTAACTCTCTATCCCTCTCCCTTCCTCTCTGTGAAAAAATCAATAAAATATATATATATTTTTTAAAAAGGGTGCTTCAGGGCGAAGAGGGAGAAGTGAGGATCCCAGGCAGAGAGAACATATGCAAAGGTCCAGAGGAAAGAGCGAGGCTGACACTTCAGAGCAATCAAATGAGGGCTGGGATGGGAGTGAAGTGGAGGGCGAGACAAGGCGGTTGGTAGAGGTGGTTAAGCAAGGAAGTGACATATCAGATTCTTGTTGTGAAAGCTGTATGCTTTGGGGGGCAGCGGAGTGAGCGGAAACCCAGGAGGAGGCTACTGCACTGGTCCATGTGAGAGATGATGGCAGGGGGAGCGTGGGGGAAGGGGCAGGAGGAAGAGAGACTGGAGCTGTAAAATTCCCAGGTTCCTGGGTGATCGAGAGGCCACAATGACCATCATGGAGGTTTCCCTGCTCACTGGCTTCTACCCCAACCATGATGACCTCAAACAGGTAATGTAGGTCCCACCCGCCCTCTGCCGAGCGGGGTGGGCGCCCTGGCAGCATCCCATACTCAGCGTTAGCACAGGGCAGAGTCCAATCCCTCGTCAGTGACCCACGGTCACTTCTGGTTGCCTCCCTGCCTGGCCTTAGCCAAGTGCTGCCCTGATTGTGCCTCAGTTTCCCCAACACTGGGGTGGGTTGGACAAAGACTGGAAGTGCTTAGAATTACTTCACATTGACGGGAGCTCCTAGGGCTGCGGGCCTCGGGGGTCCCAGCGAGCCTGCAGCCCTCACCCTGTGCCCCAGCTCACGAGCGAGGTGGAGATGTATGCGTTCCAGTACGAGACCAAGACGAAATCCAGCGACAGCACCGTGGTCCTCTACCTGGAGAAGGTGAGGAAGGCCGGTGTCCACCACAGGCTTGTGGGCAGCCTGGTGGGCAGAGAACCACGGTCAGCCAGGTTCTCCTGGGTGGTGTTGCCAGAGAACCTTGCCATCTGAAGTCAGCGCCCAGTAGTCAAGGCCACGTGTGTGGTCAGCGGTTATGAGCAAGGCCTGTGGTCACTGGCCCTGGTCAGCTCAGACAGGACTCCCCTCCCCAGCTCTCCCACCAGGAAGACACGGTGCTGGGCTTCCGGGTCCACAGGATGCTGCCTGCGGAGTTTCTGCAGGCCGCCCAGGTCACGGTCTATGACTACTATGAGCCCTGTGAGCAGGGGGCTGGGGATGGAAGGGTGTCGCGAGGGGGAGAGGCCTGTGAAGGGCAGGGCCAAGAGGGAGGGTAGAGGAGCCGGGCAAGGAAGTAGGGCGTGGCTGAGAGGGGCCTGGGCATGGGGGGCAGGGGGGGACAAGAAGGGTGCCGGGAGGAATTTAAAGGGTGTGGGGACAGAGAGCGTGGCCTTCATGGGTGGTCCGGGTGGTGGGTGTCCTGGAAAAGTTTGGGCGGAGCCTAGAAAGACCTGGGCGTGAC